AAAAAAAAAAACACTTTAAGCATTGAAACAACACAACGTAACAAGGCCTTAAAATTATTCATGCAGATTTTACCAGTACTTTCACTAAAGAATAATTAGAAATGCAGACCAAAAATGTCTAAGAAAAGATGCTCTGTGTCATATCATTTATAATAGCAAAAGGGAGATATGGAGAGGCTGGCAGAAGAAACACTAAATGTTCATGGAGGAAGAGAGTAGTTAAATAAATCTTGGTTTATCTATATGCTCAGAAAACACGTGAGGGCGGAGAGAGAGAACAATATGTTTATAATGTCTCACTTCGATTAGAAGAATTCTAGGGTTTTTTTTCCCCATTTTCCTCATGTTTTTCTCTATTTTCTTTATTTTGTTTAAGGAATACGTACAGCTTTTATCATGTTTAAAGTGTTATTTGCAGAAGAGGCACTGTGACAAAACCTATGACCGCTCCATGATCATATTAAATTTGAGAAGAAAAAAATTATCTGTCTCCTCCTCTTGCCTCTGCCCATGATGTAATTTTTACAAACTCTGAGCTACTTAAGCAAGGGAAGTCTGACTGAACTTCAAAAGCCCATGCAGATTTTTGAAACTTCTGGGCTCAGCCTCTTTTCACTTTAAAATATTTTTACTTGCTCAGTATTTGTTCAAAAGTTACATGTGATACTTATAGAATCCTGCATACCACGTGGTTGTAATACCTCACCTCAAGTTCGTAACCTGCCAGATATAATTCTTCGAACTACTGATCGCTGACATTTCTCCTTGAGCCTCTATAACTATCATTTGTTTCTTTCATTGCCTTCTCCGCTGCTCACTCATGGGAGCGATAATATCATACTCGCTTTTAGGAAACTGCCCCCCAGACACACTGTGAACTAAGGATTAGAGATGAGGAGATAGAACAGGATCCAGGCAACAGATGATAATGGCCTGAACTCAGCCACAAGCATCAGAGGTGGAAAGAAGAGGAGAGATGCAAACAACATTAAGGAGACAGAGCTAACAGGGTTTGGTCACTGATGGGAAGGGACGAAGAAAAAGAAGAGTCAGTGATGACTCCTGGGATTTTTGCCTTGGTTGACTCAGTAGGCAGGGCTGTGAATCTCCAGCAAAGGAACAGAGAAAGCGTATTCTAGGAAAGCAGCAATGGTCCAGTTTAGAGGATGTGCGAGATCTAACAGCTCAGAACCCGCTGATATTCACCGATCCTTGGAAGTGACCTATTCAGAGCTGAATTCCTACATGTTCTATGCCTCCCTCTGTTCATTTCAAGTGAGCGTTTTAAGAGAGTTCTAACAAGTCAGAGCTTTAAGACCAGCCAGGTGAACAAGCCATTTTGATTTTTCCAGTACATATCTGAGCAGTTTCATGGAGTCTCATAGGTTAACCATCACATATAAATAGATTGGTTACCTCTACCTTTCAAAATAATCCCATCCCTCCCTTCCAGCATCCTCTGTCACCTCCCCTGAGGCACCCTATGCTCTTAACACGCTGAATCCATCAGTCCCTGAGCAGAACCAGCTTTTTCTCAAAGGTATTGTTTTTATAACAAGACAAAACACTTAGTATCCCTTCCTCAGGGGCACCTGGGTGGCTCAGACAGTTAAACGTCTGTCTCTTGATTTTGGCTCAGATTGTGATGTAACAGTTCATGGGCTCCAGCCCCACGTTGGGCTCTGTGCTGACAGCATGGAGCCTGCCTAGGATTCTCTCTCTCGCCCTCTCTCTCTCTCTCTGCCCCTACCCTATTTGCTCATGCTTTCTCTCTCTCTCTCTTTTGAAACAAATAAATAATCCTTAAAAAAAAATAATAAACACGTAAAAACAAAATCACACGACTCTCCCCTGCCAAGTCTGAACTTGGGCTCAAAAACCTTTTCATGTTCTTGATTACCAAGTGCTCAGTTGGAATACCAGATAAAACTTCTTTCCATCTCAGCTATGGGGCATTAAAGTATTCAGCAGACTATATTATAACCTAATGGCTTTCTGCACATAATACCTTGACCATAGACAGTAAGAAATGTTTTTAAAATGACAGGATTCAATTGCTTAATCTCATCAGCATAAAATACATACAGCCTCCACATGAGAAGAACAAAGTACATGAAAACTGGCATTCTTTACTCGCTACAGAAAAGTGATAATTTTTCTCCACTAAATTACAACTTGCTCAGCTACTTGAAGTAACCGTAAGAGAGACATACCTGTTGAAGTTTATGAGGTATAGAAAAGCAGTCCGTGGGGCAGGCCCATTCCAGTGGATGGTATAGCCCTTCTCCAGCATGATCACAGGCTGGTACTGTGGGAAGGTGGCCTTCTGGTTAATGCCTCGGAGCACCATCGGATAGGAGGGATACTCATCTCGTGCGATGGTCATCGTCAGATTCTGAGTGCTCCATGTCTGGACATAAACCTTCAAAAAACAATTAAGAATGAAAGGGATGGGGCGCCTG